TAAGCTTCATACAGCTATTACCAACCTTGTTCTTTGGCTACTTCAGGAAGGTATGTGGCTGTACGATGATGACCTTTTTCATTGTAAAACTCAATCCGTATACCATGCACACCAATCTAACAAATCAATAATTTCAATATTAATTTTTTAAAGTACATACATAGATATCTTGGGTGCTTGTACAAAGCAAATATTTTTATACACTTGCATCTTGTAGGTCTTGAATAGGTAGGTCTCTTTCTCTTAATGTTCTACAGCTAGCTGCCACAAGCAGTGTTCTCCTTTAATTTCAGCAGAAAGGAGACCATTCATGGCCGGTAGGGCCAAAACGGCCCCAGAGGCACACTTTCCTTGGGGGGGGAGGAGGGGTAGTTGAATGAGGGACATGGCCCTGCCCTTGCTAGGATATATAGGAGCTGAATTCTCTGAAATGTCATTCCCTGATTTCAAGACCTATTTTACGCAAATCGGCTGTTATCATTTTTATCCAATTATTCTTCATTCTCGACAACATTTGGTATTATTGAACTGAGTTGAAATTAATCATGTGTTTGTTTATGACTTCCCTGTCTTTTGCAAAGTCATGTCTGGTAGTCTGGGACAAGTTGCTTTTCTTGCTAGGAGAGTGTCTTTTAAAGCTTCCTTGCCCAATGGACAAGGGTCCCAGGGAGTCATCCTCTAACAAAATCATTAACTAAGACAAGCAAGAAGTGGCCTCTGGCAAGTAAAATGTGAGACCTGCTTGCCCAAAGAACAAGCTGGAATTCAAGTTTTTTTCGGGCCCTGTACTGTGGAGTAAAAACTTGGATTCCAGCTGATATGGAATGAAGATTATACCACTTATAAAATAACAAGCATAAAGTTTCTCCTCACTTTACTTTATGAATTTCTTATGACTAAAAATAGAATAGACCTTTTCAGCTTATATGTTTTCTACCCAATTTCAAAACCACATGATGTAACTGTGTCTTTCAAATGTCATCTCTTTCACATGCATATGTACCCATTATGTAAACAAAAGATACAAATTTCCTTGAGAACATCTTGTGGTATTGGGTGACTTGAGAAAATAAAACATACACGTACACTTGTCAAAAAGTTTATTTTGGTAACGTTGGTTGAGAAACAAAGGAAATTAAGAATCAACCTGGGTTGAGACCATTTTAACCTGAATTCCATTACGACCTATAGCATAGACATGGAGGGCACTTACTTCCCAGTCTAGACAGTTAACATTTTCCTCAAAGTTGGTCAAGACGGATACAGAACAGTATAGGAGGGAAAGTTCCTCTTTGGTTACAGGAGAAAATCGGGTATCCCTCAGGGCACTGTAAAAAGAGGAAGAGAAAGGTATTCATTCATTTAGAACTTAAGTTTATACAATATCAACGGGAACAATTAAGTGATGGTTTATTCCAAAGGTGAACTATCAGCTATAGGGACAGCAAAGGGATTTGATCCTTAAAGTGCTTACTCTTTAGGTCTAGCTACACAAGAAACAAGATCATCTTAAAATTGAGTTATCCCAAAGGTATTTGCAGGTGCATAAGAAGTATTAATTAAATAGTTCACACCATTGAATTCTTAGATTTTGTTTTTCCTTTGAATAAGGTGTCATTTTCTGGGTTTGGGCCTTGAATAGGGTATCAAAATATATTGTTTTTACTTGTCTCATCCTTAAACAGGATCAAGGTAGGGACCCTGGGCGGCATACACCTGTCCTTAATTTATGGGATCATACATTTCTGACAAACTGCCCACCTACCCTCCCTTAGGCCAATATTAACACTTACATGTACTTCTCATTTAAAGCAAAATTTTGGCTTAGGGAAGGGGTAGCTGAGTAGTTTAAAACTATAATGATTCAATTGACCACTCCAGAAAATACCATAACATACCAAAATGCTCTTTGCTTGTCACCCCAAAAGTTTGCATAAGCATTGTTTTCAGTTTCTCTTGGGGCCATTTTAACTCCCAAGAGAAATTGAAGACAATGCTTATGCAAAAACTTTGGGGTGACAAACAAAGAGCATTATGGTGTGTTATGGTATTTTCTGGAGTGCTCAATTTATGGGAGTACCCAACCTCGGCGTATATGCTTAGTCTTACCTTGACAAGGTATAATCTCTAAGACCTTTATGCAATCGCATTGCAGTAAATGTACCTATACAGCCTCTCAGTGTGCGGCCTCTTTCACGGCCATTGTCAATCTTCCAAGTTACAAACAGAGGACTGCAAAAAAAGGGTGAAATGCCATACCTTCAGATGTGCCATAATATCTCAACCTGTTAATTCACAGTTCCAAAAAATTTTTTTGGAGGACAATGGATGCAGTCAAATTCATCTTGAAGAGCAAGTGTACAAACTGAAATTTTGCCCCATTTTTTCCATGATTATCAAAACTGGAATAAAGAACTATTTTGACAGTGACATGGGTGTATTGGCAGAATGAGAACAACAGTTACTGCATTTCTAGTTAGAACTTAAGATGGTGGATTCAGATCTTCAAGTAGGGAGTCCACTCATCTAGACCCTAAGATAAGACAAGGACCCAGGTTCAAAAATAACAAGATGCCTTTCATTGGCCATATTGGGTTGCAGT